CTTAGTTCACGAACAGCTGTTTCTAGAGCAGCAGGATTAGTTTCTTTACTACAGGCAGAGTTATTTGATATTCCTGAAGTTGCGAAAACATTCATTAATACATGAACAGGATCAGCATCCGATCCTATGAGACTTCCAACATGTTGGGATTCAAGGAATGCCCGCTCAAAGGTAGTGGGTTCAGCATTCTGCACGAAAAACTGTATCTTACTACTTAGTCCTGCAAGAAAATAATCCATTAAACTTTCTTTGCAGGTTTGTTCGCTAAGCCCCACGGTAGCGGACTTCGCTATTTTCCTGATTCGCTCTGCATACGCGGTTACTGACTCACCTTCTTTTTGTTTGCAATTCATTAATTTCTGGCGCGCCAAGTTTCTCATTTTTGGTGACTCCAATATTTCTTTAAGTTTCTCGACTGCTTTACTAAAGCTATCTTTTTCATCATTTGTGAGACTCTCATACTCTTCGCGAGGGAGCCCATCTAAGAAAAATTTTAATTTTTGAGCTTTTTTGTTTATCAGTCCACAGTCTGCTTTGCGCATCCGCGTAATCCTCAAATTTTCTAAGCCACGTTGAGAACGTAATATCGCCTCCACCGGTATAAGGTGCTATGCGTATACTATGCGCAAAGAAATCTGGATCCAAGACATGTCTTGCTGGTCTTCTAACTTTTCATTCCCATCATTACCAGTAGTAACATGCTCAGTTCTATGGTGCAGATTTTGCTCAACCTGTAAATCTGTACGCTCTTCCTTAATTTCCTTAACTTCCTTCAGTAACTGGTCAATTTTTGCCGCAGTTGCCAAAAGGCCATTGTCCACATCTTGCTTCAGTTTCTCACTACTGCTGCTTATGTCTTGCTGGTTCTTTTTGAAATTTGTAATGTCTCCTTGCATTGACTGTATACTATCTTCTACGTAGTCTACAAAAGGAATCATCTCTCCGACAGTTATTACCATTTGGGGGTCTTCCGCTGAAAAGAATTTGGAGTCAAACTTTTTCTGTCGAGAAGCTTCTGCACTCTTCTTTTTAGCTGATTTCATTTTTAATGATAAATGATTTAAACTCTTCAAATATTACTGAAGCCTAATTTGAAATCAAAACCATATTTAGAATATGTGTCTCCCAGTATTATTTCTA